CATCCTGCGACTTTCAAAGGCCTCCGACATCTACTGTAGCTCTGGCACGGTGACAAAGTTGCAAAAAAGTGACTTGAGGTTGGGTCATTCAAAGTGACCTGGTGACCTGACCTTGAAAGGTAGGAGGTTCAAACTTGCACACCATGTGTAAAATTGATAAGGGAATAGTCATACCAAATTTCGCGGCGCTACGCGCCGCGGTTTTTCCGCTATTCGCGAAAAACCTCAGGGGGGGGCGGATATCCGCCCCCCCCCGTCGGTGCGCGGGTTAATTAATGGCCACTTACTTAATTTGCGTAAGTGGACATCCCAATAACACATCATTTAACACACCGCCTTGCAGGCCAAAATTCCAACTTCTTCATTGTTCGGCCCGAAACTTTTTGAACGCCTCTCGTAGTTACGAGCTTCAGTTTTCGGGGTCTGATGCGGTAATGACCTGGCGTTGAACCCTGGGGAATCAGGCTGCATCACCCACTCAAATCAATATACCTATGGCCTATTCTGGAGCACCGCGGTACCTTCCGAAGTCGGTGTAGGGCCTCCAGCGGCTGGTGTGGAGACGGATCGGGGTCTATTAGGGGCGGTCGCGTGGTATGTGGGACTCAGAGGTAGTTATGGACCTCTATAACCAATTGCGTTTTCGAGCCTCTTAAAATCCATTAAGGACCGGAGTCCTAGACACGTGAAACCTCATTGTCAGCTCATGTGCACCTACTGTGGCTAGAACCTTATTTATGTACTTGCATATGTGCTTATTTAATATTTGCTTATCTGTTTATTTTGATTTTTTATCAACTGATAAGTGACAAAAGATTGGTATGGCTCAGCGAACATTGGTAGGGCCCAAATAAACATTGGTAAGGCTCGGGCCCTACCAGGCCTATACAAAACGACGCCCCTGGCTATGGTCCCATCTCTTGGAGATTTTTATTCTCTTCGTTTTTTTTTGTTATAAGGATGAAGCTGAGGCCTGAAGCTGACATTCTGGCTAAAAGGCAATAACCTTTTGTCCCCTCCCCTTCCCTATTTCTACAGCGGCAAGCTATTAATTACACTGTCATCTGCCTCTTGATATGTCAACCTGTTCGAAGAAGAATCGGCGCTCGCGCACTCATCTGCTTTCAGTTGTCATCCGCTGACGTGGCTGTTACGCTCTACCTACATCCGTTTCGAACATCTGGGCGCCATTTTCTGAACAAAGCTCAGCGCTGTACGCAGGTGCGCCTGAGGCAGTTGCTGATGTGTGCGCTCGATGCGTGTCAGTCATTGTGACGGCTGGTAAATTGGCACAGCGGCAGCTCAGACCCCTATTCAGCATCTGCGGCGACACAGGACAGGTCATTGGTGGCGACTAAGAGACACGCATAGATACTAGAGTGTGGTGACAACTGACAATGATAGGTCTGCGAGAAATAGTTAGATGACAAGCGGATGGTAAAGTGTTCTGTACCAAAAATTGGCCAAACATGACGTCACTCTGAAGTCTGTTCTGGCTGCCGTATCAAAGTTTTTTTTTCTAAAAACATATCTTTATTTTTGGGGGTTAAAATCCCAAACTGTTGAAAATCCGAGATAGCAGTTTTGTAGCGCCGTCTTTTTTTCTACACAACCAAATAAAGAACTTTAAAATTACTTCTTAACCCGCGCGGGGCTGGGGTCTCCAGCCGAACGCGCGGGGCTGGGGGGGGGGGTAAATTTTACCCCCCCCCTGTTATCTCCCGAACTAATGGTCCGATTTGGAAAATTCAAACGCCAATCGAAAGCTCTCATCACGAATTACTAAAAACATGTACTTAATTTAAAGTTTGAGGTCAAGGTCAAGGTCAGGTCAAGGGTACAAATTACAAGTTTCTACAGTATCGGCCTTGCACCGTAGTTGCCGAAGAATGGAGTCATGGACTGAGACTGATCGCCCAAAACGTGTTCTTAGGCTACCAAGACAATATTCGTTGCATACAATATCATTCAGAGGTCAAGGTCAAGGTCAGGTCAGGTCAGGTCAGGTCACCAAAAAACAAAATATAGAAAAGGGCATGTGCGAGTGCGACACATGTTTTATGGGTCATTTTACTCATAGAATTCAATAGGCACACTCAATAAGTGATATGGACCACCTCTGGATGAATTTCAGGTCGAGGTCAGGTCAAGGTCAGGTCAAGTGAGGTCAAATTTTGAAGTTGGTTGTTAAGGCCTAAAAAGGTGTCGATCTGATGCAGTTTTTCACGGCGAATCGAATGGTGCTATTTTTGTTTCCGTACGAGGTCTAGAACTTCCAAAAAAGTCATTTTTCAAAAATTTTGTGTGTCGTGACGTCATAAAATTTTGAATAACTCCGACATTTTTGAACCGATTCTTCTAAAATTTGGTATGTAGGTGCACATAGACCACTTCTCTGACATATATTCCGTTTTTTTTATAGACTCAAAATTTTGGATTTTATATTGATTTTACCAAAAAAGTCAGTTTTTTGAAAAAAAAATTTAGGCCAAAATCCAAAATTTTCAAAAAACCGAGATAGCCATTTGATAGACAAAGTAAAATTACGTATAACCTTTTTTGTTACGTCTTGATTCCTTTAAAAATGAAGATGTTAGCGGCGTTTGAACTTTTGCCGTTTTTGAGGCGAAAATGGCGAACATGACGTCACTAAAACGTCAATTTCTCAAAAAATTTCCGACGGATTTCGTTCAAATTTTCACGGAACGTGTCAAATTGATGTAAGAAAAGGTACTGAAAGTTTGGCGGCGCTGCGCGCCGCCGTTTTTGAGATATCGCAAAAATTCGCGAGGGGGGGGGTAAAATTTACCCCCCCAGCCCCGCGCGGGTTAAGTGTAGATTTGGTGAGCGTTTCAGGATGTCGTGTTTTTTGCTCATTTTTACTCGAACATGACCTCAGTTTGACCTCAATAACTCCTGACCCAAGGTGACCTGTGACTTGAAATTTTGTGTGAAGGTGTATTTTGTATTTTGTATTTGTATTTATTCAGTTTATTGCCAACAGGACAGACTCCCAATGATAGGCAAAGTCGAGTAGATAAAACACAAACAATAAATAAATAAATATGCGTCACAATATTACAGATGGTCACTTGTCAGGCACCTGGCTAGTCGTGTGATAATCGTCGCCTTGCCGTCGCAGAACATATCAACGGTAGGGCAGCGTGCAAGAAAAACATTGGTGAGTCTGGGTAATCTACAAAACATGCCGTTTCAAATTGATGCCCGGGAAGGTACCAAAAATTTGGCGGCGCTGCGCGCCGCCGTTTTCTCGCTATTTAAGAAAACCATAGGGGGCCAAAATGGCCCCCAATCAGGGCGCGGGTTAACCCTCGCCGGCCGAGGGGGCGGGCGGGTGCCACCCCGACCCCACCCCCCATAGGTTTTTTCGCGATCGTTCCGAACACGCTGGAGATAGAGAGCTGAAACCTGGCATACCTGACCTTTGATTCAAGCTGGATCTTTTGACACCAACCGAATTTTCGGGTCAGGTCAGGTCACTGACCTATGACGTCATAAGTGAGCCTCTGCACGGTCTTCAGATGTCGCAACTTCGCAACGCCCTCACTGCCAGAGGAGCTTTCACAGGGAAATGAAACTTGCAGTATCTAATATCCATTACGAGTCTTACAACTTGTATGTCTCGGATTTTTCCTAAAGGTCATATGAGTTCAGGTCATTTTCGTGACCTCAGCGCATTACCTATAAGTCAATGGGAAAAATGAAAACTGCTATTCTGGCGCCGGGAACGATCTCCAATTATCTCAAGCACAATGAATCGTGATTTGATGCATTCCTTGCAAGGATATATGCGTCATTTTTGCAATGTTGACCTTGCGTGACTTCATTTATGACGTCATTAGGGTCATATTAGTTTTTCGTCAATTACTCCCGATCAAATTGAGCTAGCGAGTAGTCGGGAAAGCCACCAATGGACTCAGAAAGATCTGTCAAATCGAATGATATGCAACATGACCTACTTCGACCAATTTCGTGACATTGGGGCGCTGACCTGACCGTGACCTAAGGTCAACACCCTAAATTAACCTCACCCAAACAAAAAGTATATCATTCGACGCGCCTGAGCGAGGCGAACACGATGCTGCTAAAATCGCGGCTCTGAGACCGTTTTTTTTTGCGAAGTTGTACACCAAAACCGGAACCATACCTTGGGGCACTTGACCTGACCTCAGAGGTCACCGGTTGACCTAGGACCTTAAAATAGGGTATCAATCTCTGCGTCTCGTAACGGCGCACACACTCGTTTTTTTTTTCGCGACGCGCTAGCTCCACCAGGGGCGAAACGGCGAGGGGGTCGTACCCGCTCCCCCCCCCCCCTCTCGGCCGGCGCGTATGTAGAAAACCAATAGATCCGGCGAGGGTTAAATTCGTAGCTTATCAGGTTTCGGAGATATCACACAAAACGCAAAGGGGGGGGGCAGCTTTATGCCCCCTAGCGGCTCGTGGGTTAGGGTACTACAGCTCCAACCCATGTGAATGAAAGCAGACAGAAGAATCTCCATATCTAGATGAAAGAAAGAAGGCAGGCTAATCTCCATACCATTTAGCGGATGCATAATTTTATCATCTTCGGACTTCAGTCCGCATTCGCAAAGGCGAGTGGTTTATAGCGTATGCATCCGCCATATTTTGTCTCCACCGGTTTCGTTTTGCTAAGTGGCATGCGAGTGTGATCTACTAGTATTTGTAATGGAACATTTTGGTACTTACCGTCTCCATGAACTTGGCTGATTTACTTACCTACCTTTTATTGCTTTATTAGATAGCACGTTTTACGCCGTGGTTCCTCTGGGTTTTCCGAATATCGCCTTTGTGTAGCAACAAAGGAACGATGAATCTCCACAGCAGTCCGCCCATAAGTCATTCGCCTGACAGGACACCTGTGTTCGTCCCTTCAGCGAACTGAAAACGGCAGGTCATGTTCACTGCCGGTCCGCGTGCAGACCCGGCCGGGTATATAAACGACCCGGTGCAAGGGCGTGGTACCAGACCCACCAGGACTTACACCATGGCTCTGGCGGCTCTCCTGCTGGTTTCGGTGGCAGCGGCCACTACGCAGGCCCTATGTCCGCACGAGGCCACCGACCTCCTGCCATGGAGTGCGGCAGCCTCCTGGGACGGCCAGGCGGTGAGTTATTTTGTGGTCCCTCCTTGCCCATCTGCATAGTGTTTTACAATGCCGCAACTTTAAGTTGCGAATGTTTGAATGCTTAACTAGTATTTCAGCTTGAACGCCACGATGCTGCTGCTCTAACAGCTGATCTACGTGTTCCTGCGGTTAAAAGAATCTAGGATGCATTTTAGTCATCTAAAAATTCGTGATTGATATCAGAGTAAAGGCCGCCCCACACTGGACCTCGCATGCGGGTTGCGAGTTTTTGGATTTTCGGGTTTCTTCAAAATTAAATAATACAATCTAAGGTGAGTGACCCACACTACCATCCAACAAGCGAGTCTGCATGTTCTTAGCTTGCGAGCCACCTTGCATCGCATTCCAAAAGTTGATTTTGAGTCAACTTTCGATTTTCCTCGCTGCGAGGTCTGCGAGTTCTGCGAGGTTTGCGGGTTTTTCGTTGGAGTCGAATTTTGGTTCGTTGCGCCGGTATTGCGACTATATGTAATTTTCTGAAGGTGTACCGACTTCACTGCATTCATGAAATTACCATAAGGGAACGATCTAATCACTCTATGAATTAGTATTATGCCCGCGAACTCAAAACCCGCAAACTCGTAACCCGCATGCGAGGTCCAGTGTGGGGCGGCCTTAAGTAATTAACTATTAAGCTTAAGAAATAATTATCAATTTAATGAATAGGTGTTACGTAGGTTCAAACTATTTGCAAGGCTGTTTCTGCCAAATGTGATATGGAGTTTTTCTTTCAGGTGCCTTCCGGCGGTGACATCACGATCGACAGACCTATTTTGTTGGACGTCAGCTCTGCTCCGATGGGGACGATTACCATCACCGCCGGTGGACGCCTCGTCTTCGACGCCACCTCCCCCACGACGCTGACGCTGAGCGCCAACATGGTGGAGCTCACCGGCGGAGAATTCTGGATCGGCTCGGAGGACTGTCCGTACACCGGAGACGCCGAGGTTCTTCTCACCGGCACACGCGACGAGAGCGAGGGCGCCCCCGGCGTGCAGAAGGCCGTCCTCGTTCGTGAGGGTGTCTTGGAAGTACACGGCCAGCCCAAGCTGTCTTGGACCAGTCTTACAGCAACGGTTCCCAAGACGTCGCGCCAAGACATTGCCGGCAACGCGATTCACAGCGCCCTTGACAGCGATAATCTGAGAGGAAACGGAATTTTCATGTTCGAATTTGACAGCTCTGGCAAAAGCGTTCGCAACTGGCGGCGAGTGACGAATCCCTCAAAGTTCACTGGTCGAAAAGGAAACGTTGGAAGCATCATCACAGTTGTCGTGAAGGAGAGAGCCAATTTCGGGACAAACTTCCCACCGTCGGAAATAGCGGCAGCATTCGAAGATCTCTGCTATGACGGACAGCGAACCAGCGCCTTGAGTAGCATGGCGAACAACGAGCTGACGGCGTTCGCGGCCATCTGCCACATCGGCTTCCCGGAGAACAGCGTGGAAGCGGCGGGCACCGTCAGCAACGACCGTTCCCAGACGGGACTGCTGGTGCAGCGGATCGGCGACGTCGAGTTCGCCGCCATGTCTGTGGTCTCCCTGGTCGGACTGCGAACAGCTCATCATGTCGAGATGATTTCTTATCCATCTGGCAGCGTTCCGTCCCTGGAGAGGACACTTACGCTGGCTGATCCTGTCACTAGCTGGAGCGCGGGCGATCGCATCGTACTAGCCTCGACCGACTACGATCACAGCCAGTCTGAAGAGTTCGAGATCCTGCAGTGCGATACTTGCACTGAGAATCAGGTGAAGGTTCTCGGCCCGGTTTGGTATACCCACTGGGGTGAGGTAACCGATGGTGTTGAAATGCAGGCTGAGGTAGGAATGCTCACACGCAACGTCCGCTTCCATGGCCAGATGGAGGACTCTTGCTACGGAGGCAACCAATGTGATATCTTTGACTACGACACGTTCGGGGGACAGATCAAAATGCTAAGGAATTTCAATGCCGCCAGGATTGAGAACGCCGAGTTTTACCACATGGGCCAGCAATCTGTCTTGGGATCCTACCCGATTCACTTCCACATGTGTCTGGATACGTCTGAGAAGGACGTCTATATTCGCGGGAACTCCATTCACCATACTTTCTCCCGCTGTCTGACCATTCATGGTACACATAATGTAACCGTGCATGACAACGTTGCTTATCATCACATGGGCCACTGCTTCTTCCTGGAGGATGGTGGAGAGCAGCACAACGAGTTCGTCGGTAATCTGGGTCTCGGCACCAGAGCTGGCACTCTGCTCCCTACCGACAGGGTCAATGCCGTGAGCACTTTCTGGATCACAAATCCCGACAACACGCTGATAAACAACCGTGCTGCCGGCTCTGAGGGCATGGGCATCTGGATTCTGATGCCGTTCTTCCCGACAGGACCTTCAGCCAACGTAGATATGGGCCTGTTGGAAAGCCAGACGCTCCGTACTCTGGTTCCGGCTTTCCAGGGTAACCGGGCTCACTCCAACCGCAAGTTTGGCTTCCGTCTAGACGATATTTTGCTAGATGATGGCACCGTCCAACCGGCGAGCTACAAGCCACTGGTGGACCCCAGTGACCCAAGAAGCGAGCCGGCTTTCCTTCATCTGGACGATTTTGTCGGCTACAAGAACTCTGAGGCAGTCTGGATTAAGTCTTTCTGGACGCTGTGCACAAACTTCCGTCTAGCCGAGAACACCATCGGCCTCATATTTGCTTCCTCTCAACCAGCTAACCCCGGTCTTCATTATGAGATGCTTGCCAACTCTCGTGTGGTGGGCAACACGGACAACAAAGGTGAGCCAGAGGGCAACTTCACAGTGAGTTCCGGAGAGGTTGTGGAATTCGATCGCTCACTACCAATAATAGGTAAACGCGATGCCCAGCTCGGCGTGGCGTTCTATCGTGGTCCTGTTCACGTAATCAATACCTCGTTCTCTGGATTCACCAGCAATCCGCTGCGTAACGCAGGAGCGATCAGCAAGAAACCTTCAAATCCGTACATCTCATCGCCCATCGCCAGCGTCCGCAATGTGACATTTGACTTCGCTGACCCCGCGGAAGGCTCTCGCTTCTTTGACGGCGATGGAACCGTCTTTGGCTTCGAAGAGCGAGACGGCAACCGCCACAACATCGTGCTCGACGTCGACGGCTCCCTGACGACCGTGGCCGGTACCAGCATCGTACGACCGATCCCCATGCTGATGAACGCCCGCTGCGTGCTGATGCCCACCTGGGGCCCGGGCGCGGCACTCTGCCCCGATCGGTTCTCACGGCTTCAGCTCTCGGCCAATCTCATTCCGTCCTTCATGACCCGCAACGACCTGATGTCGTCGGAGGTGGAGACGCCGCTCGCTGAGCAGCAGACCAGCTACTCGCTCAACACACGCGAGTCGTACATCCTGCACTTCAACACCACCGTGCCGCAGCAGTTCAGGATCGCGCCGCTGGGTCTGGAGCAGGGTCTGCAGCAGGTGGTTGGCGTCTGCGTCGGCGTTGACCAGGCGTTTGTCGTGAGACCCAACACCTACACGGCGGCCCTCAGCAAGGAGGAGGTCCTGGCCGACGACAACAACACCAAGTACTTCTACGACGTCGATGCAGGAATCGTCACATTCAGGTAAGAAGGCGACAGCCTCGGTCAGGCACATAACTTTACATGCTGTAGGATTGTTAACTGCTTACTGTGTGACAACATACAAGTAACACAGTAAAGAATCAGCACGATATTATTGGAATCATTCAGTGTAAGCAAACAAATACGATGCTTCGATTCTAACGCCTGGAAATTGTTTCAGTTATACATTTTTTATTACATGCATTACGAGTGCCAGACTTTTGGCTTACACGTCTGTGTTCTTGTTGCCCAGGTTCACGCACCCGTACCCCCGTGGAGAGAGCACACTGGCCCACTGCCCTGGAGTGCTGGACGAAGATCTGAACGGCGTGTGCGGGCCGCGGGTCAGAATCGTCCTGACTGCTTCCAACGATGACGGCGACTGTCGCCAGAGAGCCTACCCGGCCTACCAGACACCTCCCGTGACGGCTGAAGGGGCCCTCACCGTGCCCGTGTTCCAGTAAAGCCTAACCAGACGCCACACATGTCGGCCCTGTGACGATGTTCCAATACATTGGATTTGTCTGATGCCACCCATCGGTAGAATACATGGTCACATGAACTTTCGGAGATTGGCTGATATTGTTTGGATTTTTGTTTTGGCTAAAATGGTAATTTATGTAATATTTGAGGCTAGGTCTACATCATTTGGGCTTACGAGCATTTTGCAAAATCATTAAGGGGCGTTTGAACCGGTTTTAGACATTTAATTATGGTCGTGTAGTTCAATAACAAATTTTTGACGTCAGAAATAGGTATGCATGCATTTTTGACTGTTTTAATTGTATTTTAAGTCCAAAACATGTTTTGATTTTGATTTTGTCGGAAAACGGTTGTAGGTACTATACTGCTTGCATAATGCATATGTCCAATAAATATTTTTCAAGGTTCCTTTCTTTTCCTATTTTAGCCCGCGCCGGGCCAGGGGGTGTTTGAACACCCTTTGCGGCCTTTCGCGGATATCTCAAACGTTTTTGGCACACCTGTTCATGCATTGTTTCCGCACATGTAAACATTTCAGACCCAGGGCTCTCAAGGTCAGCTCACCAGGTCACGTCAAGTGACCTCATCTCAGAAAAAGTTTCAATAATCGTCATAGCTACATACATCGACTAAACGATTGCCTTGAAACTTTCAGCGATTGATAACAGTAACAGTATGTACAAAATGTATATCTCGGAATTTTGGTATTGGTGACCTAAGGTCATGTCAATTTTGCGACCTCTCTATTACATAAAAGTCAATGGGAGAAAATTGAAATGCGCCTCCTTTGGACGAATGGTGTTCAAACCCCTCTTAAACATCAGTTCATAGGTAAACATGGCGTACTGAATCGGAAACAATGCACCTGTGACCCCTCTGTGTGCCCCTGCGGTCCTCTCAGGTCATGAACGGTCACCAGCAGTTTTTTGGCTATGACTTTTGATAGAGACGTGCTAGAGCGATGAAAACACGTCAGATGTATTCAGCCCGACGATACGGATCGGCTGATAAGCAGCATGACCCTTTCCGGTCAGGTCATGACCTTGACCTGAGGTCAAATTTTCAAAATTATATTTCAAGGTCAGTGAATAGTTCATTCGGCGCGTCTCGACGAGAGGAACACGATGCTGGCAAAAGTAATGTCGGGGCTTGCTTGAATCAAAAGTTATTAACCCGACCGGGCCCGGGGTAATCCCAACCACCGCAGCCCAGGGGGGGCTTTTTTTCGTCTCCCCCCCCCGTCTAACTCCGTAAAACTAAAAAGTCAGAAAATTTCAGCATCCTAGCTCGAGCTCTTTCGAAGATATTCTCGAAAAACCTGAAGGGTGGATGAAAACAACCCCCTGCCACTAATAGGGTTAATCTCGCCCCCAGGCTCGATATTCTGTCGTAGCTAAAACGTCCAGTAACCAGTTCACCTCTCCAGTCTCCGAGGCTACCTGAGGTCACTACGCATTACGCAATAGCGATTGTGGTCTTTTACTGACTTTATTTTATTTCGATTCTCGATGGACCCGGTAGTTGCTGACTGCGGTATGTACAATTTAGGGCCTTGGTTGCTGGCCTACACTATACTGGAGTGGCATGAAACGAAGGAACTCAAAACACGAATTGAATCCTTGCGTCCATAATTCATAAAGCTTGCGTCAAATGATCTATAATATAAAAGGAGCTTGTGATGCAAAGCGATTTTAGTGTATGGATCGCTCATGACTGTACAATGTCAGGTACAATGTACATTTAGGTACAATCAGTGGCGGATCCAGGGGGGGGGGCAAAATAGGCATTTGCCCCCCCCCCAAACGGCAAAATTTTAACATTACACCTATGGACGATGCATGGAAAGAGTCGATAAATTGTTATGGTTTACCCCCCCCCCCCAAAAAAAAAAAACTCTGAGCTGGATCCGCCTCTGGAGTCTGGGTACAATAGTGTTTATGAATTTTTATCCATTTTGCAGGTGTAGGATTTCTCATGTGATTTCTCAGGTTAAGGATATGGACACAATAAAGCTTCATATGGTAGCCCAAAATGATCCAGCTCTTGCGCGCTTGCAACAAGTCTGGCGCAGTCAGTCATCGTGTGCAAGTTTGTGTTGAGAGAGTTCAGTGGTGTTGAGTTTGAAAATTGTTTGCATTGTTATGACTTCAACTTATGAGACTGGGAGCGGGCCGGGATTTGCCGATATTGATATAAATCTTTAAAAGGTAATTACGTGGTTGTTTCATGTGTTATTAAGGCGGTACACATGGAGGTCCCCGCTTCAAAATTAGTTAATCCCTATAATATAGACATCATTCTATAGAGAAACTCATGTTTAGTAAGAATAATGTGGTTTCCAGTTATCTGATCGATAATTTTAAGACCAAAAGCTAACTAATCGTATTCTTACCACGATCTCGGTGGAGCCGCACGACGGTCTGTTGTCAACATGTCAATTGTTGTTAAATACCATTACGCAGAAATGTAGTATCTTCATAAAACCCAACACACTAGGGGAACTGTGGGAAACCGGGGTTTTGGGTGGGGGGGGGGGGGTACTATTTTTATGAAAAAGTGATAGATATACACAAATAATTTTGGAATTACATTACAGTTCTGAGGGCTGTTCACGGGCCCTGTGTGCGGTCGGACCGCACACAGCCTCGAAGCTCCGCCCACTTCGTCCCTACGTCAGCCTTCCGTCACCGCACACAGCGATCGCTGTGGCCGGTCGGGACTGGCCACAGCGGACCGTCCACCGCACGCAGCCGTGACGTCAGAACCGCCTACCCATCCCCTACCCCCACGCCTGCTGGACGCACCGCACACACCGCACGCAGCAGTGTGCGGTGCCCGTGAACACCCCTCTGTATTTTCAATTTTTAATAGAAGATAATTCGGTAATTTTCTTTTTCGGTAAAGCGCCTCACGAGATGCGCCAGATCTGTCGACGAATGATAGCGACTTTTCTGAAAAAGTCTTCAGAAATGTTTCGTTCGTAAATATTTTCGTTCGTGCATTTTCTTTATTTTCGTTTTTTGGTCCGTGCATTTTTTTGTCTGTACATATTTTCATTCTTCGTCCAACATTTCTTCGCCTGTACTGTGCATGTTTTCGTCGGTGGCCAACTCGTGGCGAAGCAGTGCAGTGCCGAAGGCAATGCCTTAGGAGAGATTACAGGCAATAATAGAAGTTATAACGTGAGTTCTTTATTTACAACCAAAGCCGCATTGCGTTAAACTTCCCAGAGCGCCAAACACCAATCGCTGCTACAACAACCGCACTCCGCGCGGACCGGCGGCCGACTGCTCACGAACCCCGCGTCTGCGCGCCGGCGCCGCCAGTGGCGTCGCCAGGCCCCCGGGCAGGGGGGAGCAAGTGGCGTCGCCAGGCCCCCGGGCAGGGGGGAGCAGCTCGCGACACCACACCCTGCCGCCCTTAAAACGGAACACATTCACTTTAACCTGCCGCCCTTAAAACGGAACACATTTTAAACCGGAACGTGGAAACAAACACATTACGCGTCGGAACGTGGAAACAAACACATTTTAAACCTCGGCGATCAGTCGCCTCGGGCACCTCCGGCGCCAAACACATTTTAAACCTCGGCGATCAGTCGCCTCGGGCACCTCCGGCGCCGAGCGGAACGGCGTTGCGAGGGGCCCTCAGTGTCCCCGCCGCCCCTGCCGCCGCCGTCACCGACATCACCGCCACCGCCGGTGTGACTGTAGCCGCTGAGGTCACCGGTATCACCGCCGCCGCCGAGGTGACCGGCACTACCGCCGCCGCTGACGGCATCACCGCCGCCGCTGAGGTCACCGGCACTACCGCCGCCGCCGGGGTCACCGGCACGGCCCTCGCCGCCGGGGTCACCGGCATCACCGCCGCCGCCAAGATCACCGGCACGGCCGAGGCCGACTGCTCCCCGGTCACAGGCCTGACCGGCGACGCCGGCGCGGCTGCCGTCACCGAGGCCATTGGCGCGATCGTCTCCGACAGGGCGCCCGGCGCTGCCGCCGGCGCCACCAGCCCGGTCACCGCCGGCCGTCGCTCTGACGTCACCGCCGGTCGTCGCTCTGACGTCACCGCCGGTCGTCGCACTGACGTCACCGCCGGTCGTCGCTCTGACGTCACCGCCGGTCGTCGCTCTGACGTCACCACTGGTCGTCGCACTGACGTCACCGCCGGTCGCCGCTCTGACGTCACCGCCGGTGCTGTTCCCTGGGTCAGCCGCCGCCGCCAACAGCTGGTCAACGTGGCGCGACCAGATCACGTGTCCCACGTCCACTTCATACGACACGGGACCAGGGCGGGCGACCACCGTGCCGCGGACCCACTTCTGACGACCGTCATACGAGCGGGCCCACACTGTAGCTCCCACGGCGAATTCCCTGCTCCGTCCGCCGGCCGTCTCACGCTGCCGGTCCCGAGCCGCCTGCAGAGCTGTCTCGGCGCTCGGAACCATGAGGTTCATCCGAGTGCGTAGGTTCCGCCCGAACAGCATCTCAGCGGGAGTCCGTCCAGTCGCGGCGTGGGGCGTCACTCTGTACGCCAGGAGCGCGCGTGACAGAGAGAGGTCCACTCCCCCACCGGCCGCCGCGCAGACTCGGAGCGCGTTCTTGACGGTGCCGACTGCTCTCTCCGCCAGTCCGTTTGACGAGGGGTGGTGCGGCGCGACACGAGTGTGACGAATGCCGTTTGACCGCACAAACGCCGCGAACTCCTGACTGGCGAACTGCGGGCCGTTGTCGGTCACCAGTTGCACTGGCAGTCCCAGACGGGCGAAAATATCGCGCATCACGGCCACCGTCCGGGCCGCCGTCGTCGTCTTCATCGGCGCAGCTTCGATCCATTTTGTGTAGCTGTCGACCATTATCAAAAAGGAATGGCCCAGCATCGGCCCAGCAAAGTCGGCGTGCACCCGCTGCCACGGGCCGTCCGTCGGCTCCCACGGGTGCCGTGTCGCCTGCGGCGGCTCAGCTCGCTTTGAGACGCACGCCTGACACCCGCGAGCCAGCGCCTCCAGCTCAGCATCGAGTCCCGGCCACCACACAAAGCGCCTCGCCAGCTGCTTCATGCGAGTGCAGCCGAAGTGACCCTCATGCAGCTCCCGCTTGACGGTGTCGCGCAGGTTGCTCGGGATGACGACTCGGCCGCCCCAGAGCAGACAGTCGGCCTCGGTCGTCAGCTCCTCTCGGCGATTCTTGAAGGGAGCCAGGTCCGGGTCCACCACCGCCGGCCAGCCCGATCGCACCGCCGCCAGAGCGCGGGCGAGCACCGGGTCTCGGCGCGTGGCCACTGCTATCTGCTGCGCGGTCAGACACGGCCCCTGTTCGGCGATGAACATTACGCCGCCTCCGCCGTACGCCGCCTCCTCTTCTGCCGACAGCCGGTTCTCCGCCTCGTCCGGCACCGACAGACGGGACATCGTGTCCGCCAGCCTCATGTCCTCCGTCCGGCGCAGCTCGATCTTGTACTGGTACGCCGCGAGCTGCAGCGCATACCTTTGCATGCGAGCCGCCGCCAGAGAGGGCAGCTCACGGTCCGGGTTCAGGATCCTGGAGAGCGTCCTGTTGTCGACCACCAGGGTGAACGGCCGACCAAACAGGAACTGGTGGAACCGCCGCACTCCGAACGAGACGGCTGCGGCTTCCCTCTCCACTTGGGCGTACTTCCTCTCCGTCGGAGTGAGCGTTCGGGAGGCGTACTGTACCGGCCTCTCGAGCCCCTCGGGCGTCACTTGCATCAGAGCCGCTCCGACTCCTGTCGCACTGGCGTCCGTGACGAGCCGCAGCGGCAGCACGGGGTCGTACCGCATCAGGACCGGCGCCGTGGACAGCATGTCCTTCACACGGCGCACTGCCGCGGCGCACTCCGCCGTCCATGCCCATTCTCATCCTTGTCGCCAGGATGTTATAACGTGAGTTCTTTATTTACAACCAAAGCCGCATTGCGTTAAACTTCCCAGAGCGCCAAACACCAATCGCTGCTACAACAACCGCACTCCGCGCGGACCGGCGGCCGACTGCTCACGAACCCCGCGTCTGCGCGCCGGCGCCGCCAGTGGCGTCGCCAGGCCCCCGGGCAGGGGGGAGCAAGTGGCGTCGCCAGGCCCCCGGGCAGGGGGGAGCAGCTCGCGACACCACACCAAATCAAATATTTTTAGGTTAAATGGTTATGTATCTGGCTTCAGGCCGAAGGCCTGAAGCCTGATGCATGACCACTTAACCTGAAAATATTTGATTTACTATTGCCTGCAATCTATTCCTGCAAGTAACTATTTCCTTATCCGGTAGGCAAAAATCAGTAGGTTAGGTTAGGTTAGGTTAGGTTAGGTTAGGATTCCCGGTAGGCAAAAATCAGTAGGTTAGGTTAGGTTAGGTTAGGTTAGGTTCCTTAATGCCTGGTAGGCAAAAATCAGTAGGTTAGGTTAGGTTAGGTTAGGTTAGGTTAGGATTCCCGGTAGGCAAAAATCAGTAGGTTAGGTTAGGTTAGGTTAGGTTAGGTTCCTTAATGCCTGGTAGGCAAAAATCAGTAGGTTAGGTTAGGTTAGGTTAGGTAAGGTTAGGCTTCTTTAAGCTCGGTAGGCAAAAATCAGTAGGTTAGGTTAGGTTAGGTTAGGTTAGGTTAGGTTAGGACACCTCTTTGAATTTCATCGAGTAATAATCGCTTTTCTCAAATTTAAAGTTGTCCGCGCTTTAGACATAACAATTTGAACCTTGGTATTGTTTGTCATTTCTGGCTGCGATAAAAAATTGTGCACGCGAAACGCATCTGATATTTTTGCAGCCTTGATTGTTTATAAATTGTGTTCATCCGCCGTAACCAGCATGGCGTCAGCGTCGGTTGCGAGGGGTGAGGCATGTGGTGTTTTGGGGTCAATTTTGCCAGCTTTAAATGGTAAGCTGTTGCATTATACTGGCAGGGAATGTTAGATAGTTGGATTAGAGCATGTTGTGATACTAATTGGATTCATATAATTAAAACGAAAACGCTTGGGGACCTCCGTGTTTCCGACCGGAGGTCCCCGGTCGGACCTCCGACCGGGGTCCGACCGGGGTTCGATCTTTCATGTATCAGTGATAAAGATACAATTAACTGGTTTGTTGCCTATTTATTTTACCCTTTTGAATATAAAGTGTCAATTGCAATTCTTATCGACATGAAATTTAATGTATTTCAATTTTATGGATGACGGACTTTATTATGACAATTTATTTTCATCAAGTGTTAAGAATTACATTTTTTCATTGCCCAAGGGCCAAGGGTTTGAGTATGTAACGCTTATGGCCGAGTGGTTTTGAGTTTTCTCCGTTTGTAAGTCAAGCTTCTTGTTTTCTCTTCTAGGTAAACCCTGTTGTTTAATTGGTTAATCTTGAAATGTTTTGAATACAGAATAGAGGGAGTTAATGTGATTCAAATGCAGTGCCATTTTCCAATAAAGTCTTGAGTCAGTTGTGGACTCTCCGTTTCCAAGAGAAGCATAGAGATTAGTAGCTCGAGTACCCTAACTTACCTCAGACTGCCAACATCTGAGCAATCAGCTTAAGCTATTTGGTGCCTGTTAAGCACAGACTACATGGTCATAACCATGAATGAAAAACATTCACTTGACCTTTCTCAGAGAATAGAGTCAATATGAATGAAAAGCCAAAAGGGTATGTATTGAGCTTGAATCTGTGCTGAGCTGCTTACTCCTTGTTTCATAAAAATAATCATCCACATGGCACACCCATTACAACATTTTTATACCGTTATCTTATACAGGGATTCTAGCAATTACATTTTTAATCAGTCAATAATTTATTTCATCCCTTTCAGACTCAGCCCTGCTCTGCCACCTAGAGCGATATCAGCCAACTGTTAATACCAGCGACTGCCGTCGGCGGCGCCACTGTCGCCGATGGAGGAGCTGCAGGCGGCCACGGCGCCCTCTGCGCCGACGGAGGAGCGGCCGCGCAGCCGGGTAGCTCTGGTGCTGGCCTCGGTAACCGGCGTGGCCGCTGTGGGGCTCACCGCCGTCAGCTGGCCGTTCGTGGCGCCCGCCTTCAGAAAGGTCAGCAGCCAGACAGCTGAGAGACACGACCCCTTTCCCTGACCATATGTAGGTAAACTCATGGTGACCTGATTGAGCATCGATTGAGGCCTTTGCTAAGCGCATATGTTGAATGAGGTGCAGACGGAAATAAGCATTTCGACACTGTTGTTATAGGTATAACTGCTTCACTGGATCACATGCATACATAATTAGTCAAGTATTTAAAAAATACTTCATTTGACAAGCCCAGATTTGTTGTAAACATTTGCCTCCTTCTCCTTCCCTGTGTTTCGATCTGAAGCTGTGACTACCAGCATTACTCCATTTCTACATAGTTTGCCCACCATGCTGTCGCCTCTGACCCTGTTGACCGCTGCCCTTCCCTCCAGGTGTGCCTGCCGTACGTGCCAGCCACCACGGAGCAGGTCACTAACGTGCTGCGCGCGCTGAAGGGTCGCTCCGGGCCTCTGGTGGATCTCGGCAGCGGCGACGGGCGCATTGTAAGTACACGTATCGAGGGGTAGAGCGGGTTCGTGTTTATAGGCACAGGTAGTCGGACAGTCGGACTGAGAGACAACGGGGACGGACTAAGGCTGGCGGGCAAAGATAGATCGATAGTCAGACTATGGGGCGGGAATATGGTATTGCTAGTACGGTTATTGTGACATACAAGAAGGGCTGGCGGGCAGACTGGACATATGGGTAGTATTGGGTAATCACGTAGGCAACATAAAAATAATGAGAGACAAAGCAACACCGAATCGACAGATAAATAGAAAATATGGGATAAGAATATAACACAGGCAGACAATCAAACCAACAGACAGACAGACAGGCAGATGCTAGATTCTCGTAATTCTTCATTGGTTCCTGCTCAATGCTGGGACTAGTTATTTATAATGGTCACCTGTAGCTGCTTTCCCCCGTGGCCGTCAGCACGAGTTATGTCAGAAGAATGGCTTTATCAGGGTACATGCTACAAGGGACGGATAAAGTGACAGCTCTCCACACCTAACAATTTGCTGTGTCGCTCACCGCTGGTTGTCACAGAGCCACCGTGCTTAACTACATCAGATTGCACCGACCGCATAGCATGTGCAGCATATTTGAGGCGAGCTCCCTTTCGGTGAGCCAATATTGCACAGAAACTTGATTACTTTAAACTCACTCCAACACGGGACGAATAGTGCTATCCGCTCAGTATCTGAAGACTGGAAATCTTTTCTACTCGATATACGGAAACTTGGGATAACAACCCCAGGTAGGTTTGCCGTAATTACACTGTTGCCAGGCCGTCGGCTGTGCGGCGATGAACATTGAACTCTGACCCGAACTGAAGGGTTTGGGCGTGTGTGGCAGTGCTGTTTTCTGTTTGATCGTAGGGAGGCTCAGTGAGGAACGAACCGTGCCGTCTTTGTTAATGTAGCCTTTAGTACTCTGTTTCGCGGTCACTTTCGGTATTCTCTGAAATGGTACTAGATGATCTGAAATGATACGGGAGTCTCTGAATTACTTTATCATTACATGTGAACAATTAGTAGCAATTTTTACAAGCGAATACTCTTTTAGCTTTAAGTATGCCAGCACCGTGTTGCTATGGACCGCGGGTTCAATAAGTAGCCGACCGACTAGCAATCATTCCTCGATCTCGATCCCCTCTCCACTCTGTCCCATGGCCCCATGTTTCCCATCCGTAACGTATTGGGAGGGGTTCGTCCAGTATGGGGTCCTTTCCCGGTGACTGTTGCGAGGGCCGCGCGCGGATCCCAGTGATGAGCTGGCTTGAGTGCTGGGCAAATACACCAGGCGTGTCGGTGGGGCGGCGGTGGGGTAGTGGTGTGTCATGATGGGTTTGGCGGCTTTGGTGGCGGGATGACAATGTGTTGTGACGGTGTAGCGGTGGTGGGGATGGCGGTGGTACCTAGCGGGAATGGCTGCAGGGCTAGCGGTGTCTGAGGGTGTGTTGTGGCGATGTGGGTTTGGTGGGGCAGGTGATTTTGTGCTGTGGCGTGGCAGGCGGTGGTGGCTTGTGGGACTTTGCGTGTTAGCGGTGTTTGTATGTGCTGCTATAACACAGTCTGGAACGGGGACCGAAATCAAAATCACTGCTTGTTTTGCGCTGAACGACGACCCTTCAATTATCATCAAAACCGACTTAATCCGCTTGCGCTCGACCTCATTTCAGACCGATAAATTTTAATGCACTGCACCCTGTCGCGCTGCTAGCAACAATTTTATCCGACGGCGACCGCCAGTGGACGTATCCGCGATTTATGTGCCGACCTTGGCGGGCTAATATAGCCGCAAAGCCTTGGGGAGGCGCCCTGGCAGCGGCGGGGCGGCGCGTGCCCATCAGCCACGAAGAGACGTGACAGCGCGGCGCATTTGTCTCCATAGCGTCACCGTTCTGTCTACCTCTGACTGTGAGGGGAGTGGTGGAGGACTAGGCTGTCGTATGGTGTAATTTGTATCGTTAAAAAGTCCGATGTTCGGATCTTTTATTTTCGGACCGCTGTTGTCGGATGGGCCCAACGACCAACGGACCTCTGTCCAACGGCCGACGGCCGGCGGACATATGTCCAACGACCAACGAACTTCTGTCCAACGGCCAATAGACCTCTATCTAAGGGCAGACTGATTTTTGTCTAACGACCGACGGACCTCTGTCCAACGACCGATGGACCTCTGTCCTGTCCAATAGAGAGAAAGGAAACAGACAGGAGGAAAGAAAGAAAGAAAGAAAGAAAGAAAGAAAGAAAGAAAAGAAAGGAGAGAGAGTCAAAGAAAGAAAGAAAGAAAGAAAAAAGAAAGGAGAGAGAGAGAGAGAGAGAGAGAGAGAGAGAGAGAGAGAGAGAGAGAGAGAGAGAGAGAGAGAGAGAGAGAGAGTCGGGAGAACTGATGGAAGGAGGGAAGGACAGAGGGAGTGATAATCTGGCAGGCGTTGTTCCGCGCGTGTTCCGGGTCCGACGCCTCCGGCCGCTATCAGGGCCGAGTCCAGCCGACATCACACAGTCAATATTGAGGCCTCCGGCGCCTACCGAGCGGGCTGGGGCTGAGTGGGGAACGGGACTGGTGTTATTAGGTGAGGTGGAGGGGAGGAGAAAGATTCTTTCTCGCGGGTAGGCTCTCGAATGTTATTTACATATCCGATTTCGCTCTTTTGTCTGTTTGGTGTGCAGAAAGTCTCAAAAAACTTTTTCTGCAACTTTCTACAGTTATTTTTGTAATAACCTACGCTTCTTCCATCACGTTATGCTGCTCATTTTCTTCTCCATATTGCTATTAAATCCGATTCAATAAGAATATAATTTATTGTCTGTTTTTGTCTGTTTTATCCCGCTTCCGTAGCTCAGTCGGTAGAGCGTTGGACTACGCGTGGTGAGAGCACGCGTTCCCGGTTACAACAGTCCGGGTTCGAAGCGCGACGGGCGTTTGACGTTTATGGGCCTCCTGACAGGTATGGCTGCGGTTGTTGGCAGGCCACAGCCAGGCGAAGTCAGTGAGGGGACCGGCCGTGCGCGGCTATGTGCGCACGTAAAACTTTAGACTCCAAATTAGGCCATAGAACCGGCATTGCGCGATCAGAGGGTAGAGGGCAGGGTCAACGCAACAAGTTTTGCTTAGCGGGGGCTCTTTCCTTGTGAATCCTTCTAATCAAGAGGTTCGGACTAAATTTGTTTTAAAAAAATGTGACCATCAAACACAGTCACTGTCCTGGCCGCATCATCTACGTTCTTTTGTCTACGCCCACACCTAGGATAAAGTGCTGGTTAGCAGTGGGCCTCTGACTCAATCTCTTGTTTTCTATGCTGCAAGACCTTCGAGATACCCCCGCTTTACTAAAGGTCTTCCTTTTTATTCATTCACACATGACAATAGTATTGTTGAGTAGCAATATACAAGATTTTTCGACATAAGGTCATTCAAACAGATTGAGTGGCCCGATTTGAAGACTTTGAAGCACTTCTTTTGTTCGTTTTATGACATACGGCAGAATGATCGTCAGTAATGTAAAAATGCCCAAACTACCACCAAGGTGGTCGTCTATCGTTGGGACTACTTTTGGCTATGCCCCATTTATGACTTTCGATGGAGGGAAAACAAAACACTTTGGAGAATTGGGGCCGATAAGGGGTGCTTTATACGCGGCGGGGCTACTTTGTTGTCGCTGGTGGGCCATCGTGCCGCGGTTTGTCAGCCTCTGATCAGTCTCAGCGCCGATGGAGATGGTACCGTTCTTCACGACAAGCAAGTGATAGTTGGCAAGGCTCAGGACAGAGAGGTCGCTGGCGCTGCTGCAGACCTTTAAATAGCGAACGTACATAGTGACTGGATCACAAATGCCCTTTGCCAGACCATTATTTTGGGGCAGTCGATGCCATCCACACTGCACACAACACATGTACATACCGATGATTGCTGCGGGCGTGGCAGAGGGGTTTAAACTCCTCCAGTGTGCGGTGGGTGTCGTGGACCACGGGCGCTGCCGAGGGGTACCCACCGCACACCTTCGACCTACAGTGTGCGATCGCTGGAACTCAGCGTGACAGAGCTGTCGCTCCGATCAGTTGCGCAGGACGGCAGTCGATGGGCCCAGGACGGCAGAACTGAGTAGCAGATTCTGCTGATAGAGCTAAAACATATAGGTGTGACGGGACAGTTACGTTGGTATATCTTTAAGCAAAAATATAGTTGTTTTTTAAAGGTAGACTGTCACCTTTTTTTCACTTACCGGTTTTCGTAAGAGGTGCCCGCCCTCACCACAGATGTCCAGTCCATTTTCCGTTATCCTCACCCTGTAACGCGCAATCGCCTCCCAAAGTTCCATTTGATGCCATCTTTTTCGCCGGTGAAAATGCTCATCACTACGATAGCATGTATGACACTTTTCATTACATTTTGGCATCATAGAGATTCATTGTTATTTTTCTTGAATGTTGTGACAAATTTCGTAATACCAATATTAATTTCAACAGCAAAGACGTACATTTAGCAAATTAATGTTGAAGGTTTCCTAGTATACTAGCATGAAGAAAGGCCGATCTCTTAGCATTGTGAAGGATTTCAGGGAAAGGAAAAACTTTGTCGATTTTAATTAAGAGCATTTTATACAAATTTTAAGGAAAAACTCGTCAAAAGGGTTTTATTTATCTTTTCTTATTCACACATATTCAATTCAAAGGCGATAAATTGTTAATTAGCAAATTTGTGGTAGAAGACAATGCTTTTTTTTACTTGAAGGGAAGTGGTAAAGGGAAGACCTGAGGTCCGATCTCTTCAACACTAGTGAAGGGAGCAGACCCTATGACAAAGGTAAGTGGTAGAGGATTTTTGGTTTGCTACCATGTTCTGCATGTTTCCACCCATTGACCTCTATTAGTAGGTATTATGGAGGTCAATGTTTCCACCTCTGTTTCAAACACGACGCGATAAAATTGAAGACTTATTCGGGGCACGTGTCAAATGTATTGGTAATTCATAGGCGATGCTGAAAGTGGTTTCATCCTCATTTCTACGGTCTCTGTGCGCTAATATTTAATGGTTTTCATCGTGGTAAGTTGATATACAACGGTGCCGGAATCTCTCAAGTAACAAGTAACGGGTGTGCACTTAGTTTTGGAAAAAGATCGATTATCTCTTTTTTGAACTTGAAGTTATAAATACAAATGCTGGCATAGTGAATACCTAATCATGCAATTGAGGATGAGCATGCCAAAATTCAAATTTATACAATTGACTTGGGGAAACTACCCATGCTGGAAACTGCCAGTCTGCAAGGTATGGCAATTTCGACAAGATCTGGTCGGTGCGGGCTTGTTCAGCTGTTGCGGCGTGGTGCGGATTTCGCTTGGTGTGCGGATTTAGTGGATCACAGTGCAGATTTGGCTTGGCGATGGACTTGACGGACAAGACGATATTGATGAGGCAAATTGAAAAACATTGCTGGAGCTTTTATGTGTAATTCAGTGTCCCCTGGGTTTAAATGAGTGTGCAACTGCTGGTCATTTTTGGGTTCTGTGCGGATCTTTTACCCTCAGCCCACATTGGGGTGGATTTTCCGGTTTTTCAAGGGTTGGTGCGGATTGTGAACTTGGGCTAGTGCCCTTCGTCGACATGCGAGCGATACTTTGCAGCATGGCTGCGCACGGCTGCAAAGTATGGCTTCAGCTTCAGCAATGTTTTTCAATTTTCCTCATATATCTTGTCTGGTCTGTCATGTCCATCAACAAGCAAATCTGCAATGTGCTACACCAGTGTCCCAAAATTAGGGATATTTTGGCTTGGGTGTTCGAGGGTAAAATTCCTCACTACAAAGAGGACTGAAAGTGGAAAATTGCCAGTCAGAAAGATACAAAGAAGAATGAAAACATGATCACCATTTTCTATGTGAATGTTACAGGATGTGGGAGCTGCGATGATTTAATGGAATTTGAATGTAGGTACAAGCCAGCCAGCAAATGTACATGCGGATGATCTTAGTTGTTAAAGTTGGGAGGGCAACTTGTCCTGGAAAATTAAAGGTGATAGTGGACCGAGTGGACTATTCAATTTCACAAGGATTTCACTTTCCACCCAAATCTTGGGACACTGGGCTACACTAGATCTGCACCCTACCAGCCAAATCCGCACCACGCCGCATCAGATCAGCACCAGCTGAACAAGCCTGCACCGACAAGCTTTTGTCAAAATTGCAATGCTTTGCAGACTGGGAAACTACTAGGCGCAAATCCAAATATTGATCGACCAATAAACAGTTGAAGTGAGCAGGGCTATGACCAAACTAGGAATAAATAATTTAAATATGAATGCTTATAATTATAAATAGTTATAAAAAATTAGTATTTGTCAATCACCATTCAGCGACCGTTGACCTGACTCAGTCTGAAAAACGTGGCAGCCACGTTTTTCAGACATGCTGAAAGCTGTCATGCTGCACCTCTTAATATTAATTGTAAAACAACTTTAAATGACAAATACAGCTTTTCTTTTACAGCAGCAACATGGTAAACCGTTGTTGTGTCAAGACATGCAAGCAACACTTTGATTACAAGCCCCAACATAAGCAGGGTGCAAAATGGAAACTACACAGGTATGTGATCTCGCCACTGTCATTGCAGTATTTGAAATGCAGTATCATGAGGGTTATATTTTACCAGATAAACGCCTTTTGGGCGAAGACCGAACGAGCGAGAGAACTGTAGCTTTTCTTGACAAGGGGTCCTCTGACTTCGGGAATTTTTCAGCTATCGACACAAAATTGGCACACTGCTAGAACTAGACACACTCTACAGTATGTTATGAAAATGAATGAACCGGGGTGCTTGGGACATTCACTTTGCACGTGCAATGAATTCATATCCTATACTGTAGGTAGATTTCCATATCAATTTCACGTGCTTTCAATAATTCTTTAGACGTTTCAGTTCGTTACAGTCTCAAAAGGTCTCGGTTATCTTTCAGTCTACCCCCAAGACCTAACTTATTGTTTTTTCCCTGGCCCGGCATGCTCTCGGCACCATCCCTCCAATTCTGGCCCAAGGCAACGCACGAGCGCTGCCTGCATCTAGTATTGAAAAGACTTCGCTTCGCTTGCTCGCTCGTAACAACCTATGTAGGCTGTCGCCATTTATTGTGGCACAAATGTAAATGCACAGAGAAACCACCTGCTTTATTACCAAGAATTTGAGAAATCAAGCGATTACACCCCAAATCGCTTCCTCCAGCATTGCATTGCAGTATTTGAAATCACCTAACCTAACCCCAAATCGCTTCCTCCAGCCGGAGGCTGTACCCTCGAAGGTAAGCGCGCTCCGTGGCCGAGAGAATTCCAGCGGTAGTGTTAGACGCGAAAGCAGCTGGTGCGGACGGCCATATTTTGCTCGAACGCGTAATCGCGTGCCGGTGGGGTGGTTCTATTATTTGTCTGAGTGAGAGGCGGCTTACCCATGGGGCGGTATATGGTGCAGAGCTGGGCGCCACTGACAAAGAGAAGGACGCTTATAATGTGACACAATGTGTTCTAATGTTATAATATCTTTTTTCGGCATGGGCCAAGTGCATGTGACCTTGGGGTGGTGCGTCAGTCAATAGTATGGAGATGAGTGCCTGTGGGCTGTGACGTTATGACGTTGTGCGTTGTTTTGTAATTGTGCCGTCTTTTGATGGGGCGAAGGCTTGCAAATCCGCCCCATTGGAACAAAAAGACATTATTGGCACGCCCCCCCCCCCCCCCCCCAGCAGGGCACGGGTAAACACTAGGGTGGCACTTAGCAATAGGGTGAATTCTATGTTATCCGATTTTTAGGCGTGCGGGTAGTTTTCTGGTTCCATTCCCGTAAAAAATAATGTGTGCAAAATGATTTTGAAAAATATTGATATTTAGGGGTCGCGAATTGAGGTCAAAGTTGGCAGTTTTGGGGAAAAAATCAACTTTTTGGAAACTACTTTAAACCTATTTGGAATGGCATATGTGGTCATTAAGCGTCATATCCGACGTATTTTGACCTTTATTTGTATAACAATTGCTTATCCCATCACTTCCGGTCGATCGTAGCTTGGATCGTAGCCAGTCCAGGTCAGGCCAAGACAGGTCTGATCTGGGCTGTTTTACCCATGTCAGGCCTGTTTTTGGCCTGCGACCGGTGCCTTCTCACAGTGGAGGTCATATCCTCTTATAAGTGTGAGGAGTGAACGGTCTCTCCTGTTCCAAAGGGAGGACGAGCCCCACAGTTCTATCGGTTCTTGAGACATGCTCCTTTTCTGCCAAAGAGAATGTGAAGAAGTTGGAGTCAGCCTATCGCCGGCGGGGGAAAGCAGAGGCGAGAGTGGGCATTGAGCTGCACTGGTTTATTGTGCTTTCGGGATGTTCTTCCGTGGGCGCTTCTTCCGACTCTACATAGTGCCAGTGCCAGCAACAGACTTACCCGGCCGTTGCGGCGCGCACACGGAGGGAACGTCTTTGACGATGGCGACCATGAGAGAGAAACGTCGACTCACACTCCCAAGCGCATGCGGGCGAGCGGACGTCCCCAACAGTGAACTGGCCTCGACCGGGCCAAACTGCCCAACCGTAATATGTGAAGAACACGTGAACCTGTTATCAACTGCGGCACGGAACTTCTGATACGACTCCGGCTGAACCGCGAGAGAAGGAGCGTCGACCGATTCTAGGTCCTGGTGATGGGGGGGGGGGGGATTAGGGTGGCCAAGCTCCTCGCCGTTCCCAAACTCCCCTCCATCCAAGCACAGGAGGCCATGCTCACAGCGCTGGGGGGCTAGGAACTGGAGAAGCGGAACTGCGGCCTTTTGCTTCGACGCCACGACACCGAACAGCATGCTGGTGAACGGTACTTTAGCCCTTATCGAGCAGAAGCTGGATCGGCCCGTCCTCCAGCTGGCCTGCCGGCACCACGTGTAAGAGCTGGTCCTAGAGAAGGCCTTCTCCACTTGCCGTAGAATCTCGAGCGGCCTCTACATCCGGCTGTTTAAGAGGTTCAAAGGCGGGTGGGAGTTCATGCTTCATTGACAGGATCACACCGGTGGCGTTCGCCGTCGACGCCGTTCCGGAGTGGGACAAGCTGCTGGTCAGCTTCCATCGCTTCCATCGCTGGACTATGCCTAGCTCCGGGAAGACTACCGAAAACTTCTGGAGCTCTGCGTAACTGCTCTCGGTGGAGTTCCAAGCACGGCATCCGTTTCTCCGCCTCAGAGTACTCCACTGAGTTAGGTGGATGGCAAAGACCATCCGTACCGTGGGTGCCTTCCTCTTCAGGGAGCGGCTCCGGCTGACGGTGGCCGAGGCCCAGGTCATCAGACGCTGTGCGCTGTTCGTTGCCTGCAAGTTCGCCGCCGCCGCCGCCGCCTGGTCTGGGACTCTACTGCCACTGCGCCGGCTCTGGACCTGACCTTCGTGAACTCGTTCTGCACCTACCCCGACAAGGAGCTGTCGAAGACGACAGTCCCGGTCTTCGGCCGTCACCTGTAGTAATTGAGGGATCGGCTGGTGACTCTGGAGCTTTTAGACCCCGACCCTCGGGCTCAATCAAGACATGGTGCGGGCAATATAGACTTGTAGGAGAGGGGACCCGCCCCATAAGTCCTTAGTGGGCACTATGAACGCCGCTCTCGCGACCGAGACGTTGGCGAGCTTCCTCACACCATCGTTCAAAAAGCTCTCAAGGATACACGACCTGGACGCGGGGCTCATCATCAATGACCAAGGCCACTGGGAGGACAGCAGCTACCAAACCGCAGCTCGTGTAGTCCGGGAGCTGCGGGTGGTGAATGACTTCACCAGGCGCGATATGGCGCTGATGTTGGACTGGCACTCATGAAAGACAAAGATTAGCGCCAGTTCTTCCTCCATGTCGTTAAAAAGATCACAGAAAACGCTAACCTGACACCCGAAGATCGACTGCAATTGCTAACCAGGCTACACACAAAGTGATCTGGGTGCCCGTTGCCCATGATGCCCCTCCCTCCAATGAGGCGCCAATAATCTACTAAAGAGGAGGAACTGGAGTAGTGGAGTACATGGACCAGCGTTCTGGCGTGGCCGAAGCTGCATGGAATATCAATAAACAATATGAAAATGACTAAGAAATGCCTTATTATCATCCGATTATAGCGTAATAGGAAACTCAGAAGCGATTTTAATGATATTGAAATATGCTACCAAAATCTCAATTTTGACCTTGATTCGCGACCTCTAAACATCAATATTTTCCCATAAAAATTTGCCTCCCTTATTTTTTACGGGAATGGAACCGGAAAACCACCCGCACGCATTAAAAATCAAAAATTGATTTTTAAGTGCCACCCTAGAGGGTAGGTCACTGAGGGTCACAATATGAAAATATCCTGTGATACATGTTTTATGGTCCATTTTATATGTCAAATGCGATTATGTGGGTCAGGTAGCCTTTGGGATCAGTTTAGATTATGTTCTGGTGAAGGTCAGGTCAAGGTCAGGTCAGGGTCAGGTCAAATTAGGTCAAATTTCAAAGTTGATATTTTTGCATAAAATGGATATCGGTTCGATGCAACTCGTCACGGGGAGTTCAATGGTGGTCTTTGTTTTGCGCTACCTGCTCTAGAATTGCCAAAAATTGAGTTCAAAAATTTGACAATTGTAATGTCAATTGTAATGAACAATGTAATGTAATGTAATGTAATGCAATAATGTAATGCAAGTATGGAGATGAGTGCCTGTGGGCTGTGACGTTATGACGTTGTGCGTTGTTTTGTAATTGTGCCGTCTTTTGATGGGGCGAAGGCTTGCAAATCCGCCCCATTGGAACAAAAAGACATTATTGGCACGCCCCCCCCCCCCCCCCCCCCAGCAGGGCACGGGTAAACACTCTGGTAGTTCACCAACCTCTCTCTGCACTGTGATTTCAGAACCTTGGTACGTCACCTGCGACGGCGACGTCACCTGCGAGTTCCGCGGAACCCCTGACGCCGTCACCAGCTGGACCATCCGCGGCACTGGACCATCCGGCGACGGCCGTGACGCCGTCACCAGCTGGACCATCCGTGGCACTGGACCATCCAGCGAAGGCCGTGACGCCGTCACCAGCTGGACCATCCGCGGCACTGGACCATCCAGCGACGGCCGTGACGCTGTCACCAGCTGGACCATCCGCGGCCCTGGACCATCCAGCGACGGCCGTGACGCCGTCACCAGCTGGACCATCCGCGGCCCTGGACCATCCAGCGACGGCCGTGACGCCGTCACCAGCTGGACCATCCGCGGCCCTGGACCATCCAGCGACGGCCGTGACGCCGTCACCAGCTGGACCATCCGCGGCACTGGACCATCCAGCGACGGCCGTGGCGTCGACTCTGCCAGTGCCGGAGAGGTCGGCGACGTCACCTGCGCCGCTGGTGTCAACACCGCATGGACATCAGCTGCGAGCTGGTAAACGGCGGTGGAGTGGAAGCAGGTGAGAACTGGCAACCTATTTATGACAAACTTTTCTTTTTTGCTTGAGGGGTGATTCTGGTGTCTTTCTGCTAGAATTATTCAAATTGGGCTTTATCTATTATTTTGACCATGGACGTGCCTCGAGCATACTGCAGCAAAATTTTTACATTTATACCCCCCAAAACCCCCCTAAATATTGACCTAGAGCAACCAAATTTGCGCAGGGGCGAGAACTCCAGGGGGCCCACCTACCTACCAAATTTGGTGTTTCTAGGTGCCATAGGAGCCAATCGCGAGGGGGGTCGCATCACCCCCCCCCTGCCAGGCCGTGTTATGAAAAATGTCCTGCCAGGGCGAGGGTTAATGTAGGAGCTATGCACACATAAAGCATGTGTTGTTTACAGCATGGTACTTCGGGCTGCAGGCTTGAAATGGAACGGACTTTAGTCTTATCTGCATGTGGTAGCTCGAGCAGAGGTATTACATCTGCTTACGTGTCCCGTAGCAGCATTTTACACCTTGTCCTGCTCTCCCACAGAGCGCGCAAGCCACCAGCCAGCTGACTCAGAGCCCAGGGGGCGTTCGCCACCAACATCCGCACGGCGCAGCTGCAGAGGTGATTTCTGCCATGGAGCAGCATCCGCGGCTCCATGACATCATCCTTCCATCATTCTCCATCATCATTTCCGGAGCTCACCCGACGGCGGAGCTGGCGACGCCCGCGCCCCGCCTGGCCGTCCAGCCTGCGCGCTCCGCCGCGCGCCGCGGGCCCGGCTCGCCGAGACGTCCGGCTTAGGTCGGCGTTTGAGGCGCGGCGGGGGGCAACGTCTCTGTGCCCTGCACCGGGTCCCCGCCGCCTGCGGTCTCTTCTGCTGCCGCCACTGAGGGGAACGGCTCTTCTTTGAAGACATCATCGGTCGACGGTGATGCTGGCGGGCCGGTGGCGGCGTGCCCCGTCGGCAGCGCGCCTGGGGAGGACGCTGGTGACGACGAATCTTCATCGCCGTCGGCACCGGTCGCGAGCGAGTCGCTGTTTAGTTGGCCTGCTACTGTGCCAAAAAGTGCGACTGTGGCCAGACTGGTATACGATTTGTCAGTGCTTACGCCCCTCTTGCCGTGCCGGCCGTGCTCTTTGCCGTCTATTGGGGATGCGTTAGAGTTATCGTTTTGGGGTTTATACCGGTATCAAGATTGATTTAAAAGATGGATTTCATCACATTTCTCGCGCACGTTCCACACGTCCTTTTGGTGTTTTGTATGATGGTAAAACGTGCTTATACCTTTTCTCTGTTACCAATGGGCCCTATTAGGTACTGCATCTCCTGCATTATTAGGTAGAGATGCAGTACCATTATTAGGTACTGCATTATTAGGTACTGAAGGAGATGCAGTTAGGTACTGCATCTCCTTCGGAGATGCAGTACATAACAGATGCTTTCAGTGAACTTGTAGAGTCGAGATTTAACGTCAGGTGTTTGGCGTATTTAGATGATTTTCTTTTCATGTCCAAGGACGCTGAATGGTATCGCTGCGTTTCTGACTAGTGTTGGGTTGTGTATTAATTTCAATAAATTAGTTCTCGTTCCGTTGCATGTTTTTACGTTTCTTGGTGTGTCGATTGACTTTGGGCGTGATTCTGCGCGTGTTCAGGATAATGCCTTGTCTTGTCACTAGTGCGGGATGGCCGTGGTCCAAGCACAGTCGCTGTGACAGACGGTTCGATGTGTCGACCAATCATGTTGCTTCGTTTTTGGCGCCTTGTGTGTTGTCCGGTCTGTCAAGACTCAGCTGGCTCAGTCTCGACTCTGGCTCTGGCCATCAGAGAGCGAAAGGAGCTGCGCGCGCGGCTGCAGCAATTCATCGGCGGCGGCGCTGTGAACGCTGTGTCGGCGGCGCGCGAACAGGAGCTGATCGCGCTAAACGAGGACCGCCAGCAGCTTGTCCATCTGCAGCAGCTGGTGTTGCAGCTGATGGGCGGCCAGCAGCTGGCGGCGGTCGCTACCCCCCCCCCCCCCCCCGCCGGTCCTGTGTGCGGGGACCGCCGCGCCCGGCAGTGATGGAGGGTACTATGGCGGTGTTACATTCCTAACTGTTGTCACATATCAACTGAGAACCGTCCGGCCGGAGGCAGTTAACGCCGGCCGGCACCTACTCACCGTGGCCGTATTTTTTTATATGGAGAGAGGAGAGAGGAGAGAGAGGACATCAGGTTGTCAGAGAAATAAAGTGTATATTTATTATTTGAATCGAGCGAGTCGCGTGTTCCACGAGCGGGACTTGGAGCAAAAAGCTGGCATTGAGATACAACGAACAGAACGTGGCGTCGAGCAGGAACGCCCCCGGCTATGTACACGGTGCTGCTGGGCGCGCGACCAACAAAACACGAGAATGCATCAACATCAAAGACACACGGTACATCAAAGCCCTCCGCGCCATCGCTGGGTCCGTCGGCACCGCTAGCGCTTCTACAAAACAAGCACGCACATAGAGACGCCATTTCCAAACGCACGCATACACAGAACAAAAACGCACATGCACGTCCATTCGTTTCACTCAGTCACCCATGAACGGCTTGGGTTTCCGGACGGTCACCAGCCGGCGGGGCCGCGCCGCGGCAATAGGCGTGAGTCTCCTCGTTGAGCTTGCTGAGCGCGCTGCCACCGGAGGCGGACGGGGCGCCGCCGGCCGCGCCGTCCTTCGCGTCGCTCACCTCCACCTCGACCCCACTGTCGGAGTCCTCGGCGGCGGCGCGCCGGCGCAGCTGCTCGCAGATCTCCTCTGTGACGAAGGTGGCGCACTTGGAGTCGCGCATCAGCGGCGTGAACTCGAGCTCTGGCCGGCCCTGGTGCAGGCGCCTGGCGCAGGTAGTGCTCCGTCAGCGGCCGCGGCTGCACCACGGCAGCGCGCGATGCTCGCACAGCTCGCACTCACGCTCCACGGGAGCCGGCGCCGACTCCGGTCGCCGCCGCTTCACCGGCGTCGAGCTGGCCTGAGACGAGCCCTTTGCCGCACCGCCCGAGCCCGTGTGAGGGATGATTGTGAATTGTGATCTCGTTGTTGATTTTGATGGGCTGTCCGGTGGCGGCCGCCGCCGCAGCTGCCTTCCTACGGCCAAACGACTCCATAATCTTCTTGGCGACGACAGAGTGAGGGCTGTAGACGTCATTCTCGAACTGTTTGTATACATATGCGAATGTGGCCGTACAGACGGTGCACTTGTAGGGAAAGGTGCACCGGGTTCAGCATCACAAGGTGGTCCTTAAAGACGTGGTGCAGGAGCTTCCACTGGTACACCTGGCGCACACAGAGAAAACACGTCACCGGTAAATCCCAGTTTGAAGTGAAGGAAGATGTGCATGAAATCCTAGGACCAGACAACTCGCAGGGGGGAAGTCCACAAATGACGCAACATCACTAGGTACAACCTCGTATCGCACAGCAATGTAAAATCATTAATGGTACCTAATGGTCTCCCTAATAACCGTGTACGTGTATCTCCAACCCGAGCCGCCTCCCACGATAAGATCAAGACTTGTGTCAAGACATGTGTCCTAAGTATTAAGTAATAAGTTCACCTGTATCAAGTTCACCTAGCACCACTTTTCTGAAAGAAAAGTGGTTCATGTTTTAGTGCCATCTTTCATTATAGAAAGACAATGATGTTGAATGTGTTTTCTGATGAACCACAAAGTGAAAATCAGTGATTTATGGGTGCATTGTATTTAAGAATTCCTTTTGAATTATCATGAGCAGAGTTGAATACCTCCTTTTGCACTCTTTAGAAAATTACCCCGTTTACATGAGTCATTCAGCCCTAAACGGAAATATCCGATTAGCCAGGGAACGGAAAAATGCGTTTCGGTGGCCCCGTTTACATGAGCCTTATCGGAAAAATCCGTTCCGGAACGGATAATTCCCTTTACGCCGGCAGCCCGAAAAATACGGATATTTTGCGCATTTTTACATGTCTGGCGCAGCTCCTATCAAGCATTATTTGTGCTTGTTTTAGGCTTAATTTACTTGATTCTTAAAAGTTTTGTATGTAGAATTGGAAATAATCATGGCACAAGCCATTATTTTACTTGTGTGCTGTAAAAGAAGTGTGATTAATTGTCAGAAAGCAAGTAAACAATTGAGGTTTTGGACAACATTGAAGAGCACATCTACATTGAAAGTCTTTTTGGTTTCAGAAAAAGGCTAAAACAGCTCATAATAGTCATAGCTCATCATGATGGACCTCCAGTAAGTTGACAAAATGAAAATGCATGAAAGGATGTGCAGGATGGTGCCACACTTCAGAAAACATTGGTATGAAAGTGGGTGGTGCGGGATTGTGTATACATTTTTAGTTGACAGATTTGAAGCACTTGAATATTCCAGCATTCTATTTTCATTTTTTGCTTTTAGCTGCTCAGTTCTTCAAAGACAGGGCCATGGGTCAGATCAGTACTAGGTGAATTGTGTAGTAGATGTGACCTGTGGGTGCATTGCTTGACTGTCGGGTGCGTGCAACACAGTATCCATCATTTCCATGTGTTTTAGTCATAACAGAAATTACATCTCCTCACCACCAAACTTTAAGACACTATCAGTGCATTTTTCAAAATGCATAGAATAATCCACTCTCAATCACACCAGGTAAGATGTGAAGATGAAGTCCGAGTGGTACCTATGTGGTTTGGTAGGTTGGTTGACCTTGTAGATTTGTAGGAAGTAGTTTGGTATAATAGGTTGTAGGCATGTAGGTGTGTTTGTAGGATGGTAGGTTGAAAGTTAGGTTGGTAGGTAAGGTTATGTATGATTCTACAAATTCCACAAAACTTGCCAGTTGCCTGCTTCCACCATCCGAGATTAACCAAACTTTCAGAGACCTTCCCACCACTGAAGAATCTACTTCTTTGGAACAATAAGGTGAACATTTAAATATAGGTGGGGGGGGGGAGGGGCAGATGCCAGTATCACTGAGTAAATTTGGCTTGTGTCTTGTGTACATTTTGGCATGCAGCCAAGTTACTGTCCCAACCAGCCAGCGTGCCCTGCCGTCTGGTGGCTGTTCGCTGAAGCATAAGTTATCTGAATCACTGCTAGGAAGTTTGAAGTACCTAGGTAGAGAAAATTGTTTGGGAGTATTTAGGTACTAAAGCAAAATAAATCAAGCACCATATCCAGTGTACCAAGCACTAAATGGCACTAGCATGCTGTTCCAAGTGGCTATAGGGAGCGACTGGCTGGGAAGGCTGTTGGTTGCCCTGGAATTGAACGCTGATTGTTGAATCTAAGAAATATGGAAATTACCCATAAACTAGAATGCTTCCCTTTTGAAGCATAGGACGTTCCTCTCAACACTTATGTAGGTACTTTATGAATCTGACACAATGGCGCGAAATCAGGGGCAAAAAGTGGATTTTTCATTGTCATTAGACCTACCATTCAAGATAAATATGTATTTTGATGTGTAAACTAAAAAATTTCATCTATAAAACATGCATATTCATGTCATTTTCTGCTAGATGCGCAAAAAATCCGTTTAGGCCTGACGTCCTAAACGGATATTTCCCATTAATTCATCGGATATTTCCGTTCCGCGTAATCGTCATTTTTGCGCGCCCAAACCAGTTTACATGAGTCGAAACTTGCGCACTTTTCGCTAAACGGAAATATCCGTTCTAAACGTCATTTTCGCTGACTCATGTAAACGGGGTAAATGAAGAGACTCACAAAATTAAAACATGATTAGAAAGAACACATCCTTAGAAATGTTTTGTGTGCTAACCATATTTTTTTCACAAAACATTTATAACTTCCACCAAACCACACAATGAGTCAGGTGAGATTATCTTACATTAGGTAAGGTTAGGTAAGGTTAGATTAGGTTGTATTATTTCTGCTTGTAGTGTACCTGACTTTTCAAGGTAGGTACATGATAATTTTAATTGCAATAATCACCTTAAAATATATATTGGCTAGCAACCTAGATAAAGGCTAGGCCACACATGGCAATTAAATAAATATTAACAATTGTTTCATACTTTCACATCGCATCGTAAGAAACATTCAGTTATTTACCTTTGGGGCTCGGGCTGGGCGGTGGGTGAAAAGTTGAGAATTCTTCTTGCCCCTCGACCACCTCCTCTCCTCACCCGTCCTCGTCCTCTCCCTCGCTCACCAGGCATCTTCACCTGGAAGGTAGGCATACAGAAATGGGCCAGTCTGCAAAACGTGGCAGGTCTTGACAATATGTTGTCAGGGCACACACCACAGGTTGTGGCAGGTTTGAGGAATTTTGGGGCAGAAGCAAGGAAATCTGGGGCAGAAGTTGAAAGCTTGTCACAGCATTGATTCATTTCGCTTTTCATACTTATTAAATGATGCACTTCATCATTATATCATTTTCATCATATTCATGAGGGGCCCTCATGAAAGGAATTGGGTTGCCCAGGTCTCGGCATTCCGCTTGGGGCAATGTTTTGACTGTCCCAAACATCTTGTCACGGATTGAGCTCCCTGCCACACTTTGAAGACTGGGAAATTGGTGCTGGAATGGAAACACTATCAGATTCATGACAATTTTTCCAATACCATAGGTATTTGTTATTCAAATAGCACTTGTCTCAACTTAGTCTATCACTATTCATATAAACCTGGAAATAGTCTAGCTTTTAATATCACATACCAAAATACATGTATATATATACCTATCAGATGAATCAGAATTGGAATATTTTAAGATATAGATAACATAACTCATTAAAACAGGCAATTCCAAAAGCGTAAACACGACATACATCATAACCAAAGCAAGGATCATTGTATATTTCAATTGTAACATGCGCGCCGTTTATGGCGACAAAACCCGCTTCCATATCTTATGACCTTGAAGTCTAGTGATGTGTCAACATTGTCGCTAGACATTATCCGATTGATAATTTATGATAATCGATAATTTTTTTACGCGATTCACGTGATGATAGCTTGCCAGGTGAATTCTAAAATTTCGTTTTATCCAGGGAAAAAATCATGGGCCGATCTGAGAAAACTTTTTGAAGGTGGCAGTCTTCCTTTAACGTTGAAGTCTTACTGAAGAGCTTTGAAAGTTTTTTCTCAACTATTTCCATTTAGACGAAGCCTGCCTTCTGAAAGGAACAAAGATGTGTTCGAGCCTTTCAGATCAGCCCAGCGAACTTCCCCGCTCCATTTATATTTGTTTTGTAATCTCCTTGTTGTCGGGTTCCATTGTGCTCCGACGACTGGGGTGCGACGCATCCCGTTCTGTTTTTGTGGGATCGGTACACACACAGACACACACACGCACGCGCGCGCGCCACATAGGCCGCTTTGACCTTTGCTCGGTGGCCTGACGATTTTTTGTTACTTTTTACTTTTATTTATTAATTCATATGGTGAACATGTATGCTTTTGCCGTACGCGTTGACTTATCGCGATTAGATGGCAGTTTATGGCGCCGACTATATCCGGGGTGCCCTGGGGACAGGGACAGCTCTCCCCCGGAATAGCAGTGTACCCCCCCCCCCCCCCAAGCAGCGGCACCGACAGCGGCGTAACAAAGAACACGCGCGTGAGGGCTGATGGGACCGTATGAAATATACAAAATACCTACATACATGTCTACATGTCTCTCACGGGAATTCAAATTGTGAGGAAAAGCCTCGAGAGCTAGGTTTAAACAAATATTGTGCTTCCTCTTGATTTCTGGTTTTATTGCGATATATGCTAAATCTGCTCCAAGACAAAACAATTATTATTGAAGTGCTGGCTGACTATTGAGAAGGAACAATTTTTTACGTCTCTGCATTTATTTTTTTATTTGTAGGCTGTATTGTAATATTTTGGTTAACGAGCTGATAAGATTATGATGTATTCTGACGTTATTTTGTCATGCGCCTAGACAAAAATATTACCGCTTACTCTCAGTCATTTACATATCTTAATCAGCATTTGCCGTTCATTCAATCTATTTTTTTCGATCTCACAGCGCGGACCTGTCTGCAGGACACAAAGACAACCGCGCTTGGTCGTATCACGCGCCCTAAAATCGGCCAATAAAGACGGCGAACGTCTCCCTGAACGAAGCATTTCCTATCACCGCGGATTTTGTTGTTTATCGATAGGGCCCTGGCTGTCGTCAATCACAAAGATTTTGTTTCTGGGTCGCAGTGAACGCGCGGCGATATAGCGTGTGTAAAACAGGAAAGCATCATAGAAACTGTGGCTGTAAAACAGGAAACGTCGGAGGAACTACGCGAGTGAAACAGGGGGCATCAGTGAGCATCGGTTTCGGTGGCTGGCGGCCAGAATTCAGACAATGGTCGTCGTCGGCGCTCCCCCTGCTCTGGTGATGCGATGGCGTCTCTCCGAAAGCTGATTTTCTGGAGCGTCAGCCCGCGGCCTGCGGGACAGACCGCTCGGTGTGATGTGGTGCAGCCGCGACGAGCTTGAACTTTAAAGTCTGTCAACCCATACTGCTTGCTTACCCTCGCCCCGCCACTTACTTATATCATCCCTCTCTCTCACATCACCTCGTGTCATACACCACCATACATAGCATGCCATACTCGTGTCCTACTCTTCTCCCATGCTCCTTTCTCTCAGTTTATCACCCTTACCTCCCACTCCACTACTTCCACTCACTCTTCAAATCTTTCCCACTCCCATCGACCAGTCCGTCCGATCCCCTCAGTCCCCTGACAGCCAATCCGTCGGATTCCACGGTCCCGACCGGCCAGTCTATCTGATATCACTTAGTCCCCGGGCGGCCAGTCCGTCCGCTCCCCTCAGTCCCCGACTGGTCAGTCCGTCCGCTCCCTCAGTCCCCTGCCGAGGGATCGGGCGGACCCTGGGGACAGAGACAGAGTCCGTCCGATCTCCTCAGTTCCCGGCCGGCCGGTTAGTCCGTCCGATCCCTTTAGTCCCAGCCAGTCCATCCGCTCCCTCAGTCCCCGACCGGCCAGTATTACAGGCCCTGGGGCCGACTCGTCCCCCCGGAATGGCCGTGTTTTCGGCGAGCTCCTGCTGCGCGCGGACGACCGTCGGGAGCGAGGTGGAGACGGCTGCGCTGCTCCCGGTACTCGGGGGAGCGCTGTACTGCAGCGGCGATGACCAGACTCCCTCTGCCCAGCTCGCTGTCTGCACGCATACGACCAGGGGAATGTCCGCTACTGCTTATGGGGAAAGGGTGGATACTGGGGTGAGAGGCAGTTTTTGTGTAGTAAAACTTTGTGATAATGGGCTCATGTAACTAAGTGAAGTCACTTTCTGCTCCTGAATTTGTTACTTTGTTGGCTGTCCTTGGATTGGTGTTGTTTACCGAGTGAATCAATTTGTCACCTTGTCTGTGCGCGCCGGGTCGTTTGTTTTAGTGTTCATTTCGCCGCGCCGGTGTGAGAAACGCCCTCCAAGAAGGCCGTCTGGCCCTGCCTAACACTGGCGTTAATGTGCGCGGCGTCGCCGGCTTGGTCCGCGCCCGGCCTATTGACGTCCTCGGTCCGGTCTGCACGGTAATCACGTTCACATAGTTGGCTGATGTAAGGTCGATCCCCCGCTGACGAGTTCTCTCGAGAGAACCACACCGCTGATGTAAGGTCGATCCCCCGCTGACGAGTTCTCTCGAGAGAACCACACCGCCTGCGGGTTCACAACGGCCCCTCCCCTTTAACGAGAAAAACGAAATAGCGTTCTAGGAATTCCATGGAAGAAGGTAAAAAAAAAAAAAAAATCACTGCTGCACGTCTTGCCGCGCTCGCTGCCCTCTGTCGACTGGCGCCTGGCATGTCCCTCTCCGCTTCCCTCTCGCCCCTGCCTCCCCGCGGCCATGCGCCTCCCGCCGTCCCTCCCCCTCCCGTTGTTCCCCCTCTCTCCCCTCACTTCGCCGTGCGTCCCTATCCGATCCGTCAACATACCTTACCGTCTCCGCCGTTAAGGTGGCTATTGACGTCCTCGGTCCGGTCTGCACGGTAATCACGTTCACATAGTTGGCTGATGTAAGGTCGATCCCCCGCTGACGAGTTCTCTCGAGAGAACCACACCGCCAAACCCGCCAAACCGGAGGAAACGACCCAATGCCTCTTTTGCCGCGCCACCCGCCTGAGATCCCACTTATGACCTCGGCTGCCTACTCACCTGAGGTCACCAGAGGTTATCTGCTCCGCACACCTGCGGTCCGACTAATGACCCGGGGCGCCGCTTCATGCCCGCCGACCTCCTGCCTAAGGTCACCGTCATGACCTTCCGCCATTTCACGCGCCCGCGGTCGCCCCTTGTGACCGCCTGCCGTGCCATGACCGGCCGGCTACTCTCCCAAGGTCACAGGTCATGACCTCCGGCCGCGCGCCGTCCGTTCGTCTGGGGTCACTATTATTGACCTCCAGCTGACCTTCCCAGGTCGCCCGGTCACGACCTCCGACTGCCCCGCAGCCTAGAGTCACCGGTCAGACCTCCAGTTGCCCCACATACCTTAATTCACCGGTCGTGACCTTGATATGCACCACATACCTGGCGTCACCGGGCGTGACCTTCAGTTGCGCAACATACCTGATGACACCGATCGTGACCCCCGAAGGACAACTCGTCTGGTGTCACCATTCGTGGCCCCCGGCCGCGGCACCCGCCAGCCGCACTAATGCCACGGTCCCCGTACACACATGACCCTCGGCCCCACATACGTCTGAGGTCACCGGCCGTTTCCTTCTCTTACGTCCCTGCCGAAGTAGAGATATGGAGAAAGAAAGAGCGAGAGAGAGAGAGAGAGAGAGAGAGAGAGAGAGAGAGAGAGAGAGAGAGAGAGAGAGAGAGAGAGAGAGAGAGAGAGAGAGAGAGAGAGAGAGAGAGAGAGAGAGAGAGAGAGACGCGAGCATTCGCCCCTTTGTACGCGACAATTACCTATCAAGTGATCAGGGTCACGAGGGGAAAAAAAGCGGCCATAGCAACCTGCATCAAATATTCTGCCGAGACGTGTACTTACAAAGCTCCATCTCTGCTCTGGCCCGAGAAGCTCGGTGCGCGTGCGCGTGGAAATGCATACATATTCGCAGTGATGCAGCCATTAGGACAAACGACTCGTAGTCCCCGGAAAGGGCCACTGGCGCCCTCCTGCCAGCTACTGACAGGCTCTTTACAAGCCCGGCACGCTCCAGCGTTCTCCCACGGCTGCGGTCAAGTCGTCCTGGTCTCAGTCAGACCACCTAACCCCCGACAGACCCTCACAGGCCCCGGTCAGGCCACAGCTGCCCGCTCCTGGCAGGCTCCTTACAAGCTCCGCGCAGCCTCAGCAGTCTTCCACGGCTCCGGTCAAACCGTCGTGGTCCCGGTCAGACCACATAACCCCCGACAGACCCTCACAGGCCCCGGTCAGGCCACAGCTGCCCGCTCCTGACAGGCTCCTTACAAGCCCCGCACAGCTCTAGCAGTCTTCCACGGCTCCGGTCAAGCCGTCGTGTTCCCGGTCAGACCACATAACCCCCGACAGACCATCGCAGGCCCCGATCAGGCCACCGCTGCCCGCTGACAGGCTCCTTACAAGCCCCGCGCAGCCCCAGCAGTTTTCCACGGCACCGGTCAAGCCGTTCTGGTCTCAGTCGGACCACCTAAACCCCGACAGACCCTCACATGCCCCGATCAGGCCACCGCTGGCAGGCTCTTTACAAGCCCCGCACAGCCTCAGCAGTTTCCCACGGCGCCAGGCCAGCCGTTCTAGTCTCAGTCAGACCACATAACCCCCGACAGACCCTCACCGGCCCCGATCAGGCCACAGCTGCCCGCTGCTCACAGGCTCTTTACAAGCCCCGCGCAGCCCCAGCATTTCCCACGGCACCGGCCATGCCAGCAAGGTCTCAGTCAGGCCACATAACCCCCGACAGACCCTCACCGGCCCCGGTCATGCCACATCTGCCCGCTGCTCACAGGCTCTTTACAAGCCCCGCGCAGCCCCAGCATTTCCCACGGCACCGGTCATGCCGTCCTGGTCTCAGTCAGGCCACCTAGCCCCCGACAGACCATCACAGGCCCCGATCAGGCCACCGCTGCCCGCT